GACGACGACGACGACGACGACGACGACGACGACGACGACGACGACGACGACGACGACGACGACGACGACGATGATGATGATGATGATGATGATGATGACGACAATGATGATGATTATGATGATAATGATAGTAATAAAAATAATATTCGTGTATTATTATAATTATAATTTTCAATTTTTACCGTTTACTTTACGGTAAGCGCAGCACACTGCAGTGTCTGACTGACCGTACGCGTTCACGGGTACCGGACACCAGTTACCTAAAGTAATAAAACTGCTCATTTATTTTACAAATTTTTCCATCTTTTACCCGTGAAAGCCTTTCTACTATCCGTCAAGAGTGACGGTTGGGCTTTTTCATTAGTAATCACTGAGAGTTCGAAGGGTACGCATCGCGGAGTTAAACAGTGAATTTAATAAGTGAACGTAGAGAAATGGAAACCAAAAGTGCAAAGAAGAAGAGAAAATATTTCTTTTGGACTATGACAAAAGTCAAATTATTCATTCGAAAGTTCCCAGTAACGGGCAAGTTTTACGTGTTTTATTTGATTATTTGCCCAAAGTACAACTGGAACTTGGACCAATATGTGCCGCTGTAGTTATAAAAGAAGTCAAAGTTTTCTAGAACGAAGCCGGTATACCAAACAAAGATACGCATCATGATTCGACAAAAATGTTAACGTTGCATCAACAATGGCGAATGTTACAACGACCATGAAAACTTCAAAGTGAGCTGCAAGAAGAGAAGAAACGAATACAAGAGACACCAGATTCGACTGGAGCACGCAGAGATGCGAGCAAAAAGATATCGCGAAATTTTAGACACAGAAGGTATAATATTATATATCTCCAATTAATTTTATAACTATTTACATTCTTTCATCACGCCAGAAGCTGCGGCAATGTAATTTCTTGAGAAAACAGTTAGTTTCAATAGAAAAAGGTGTCTGGTAGAAGCCTTACGCAATATACATATTGAAAATCCAGCGAAAGAATGATATTTTCACCTAAAAATATTGACGATTACGTGATTCTGGATGTCGGTACGGAACATTTTATTTGTATTCAAAGTAAAAAGTCATTTAGTGGATTTGGCATATCGACAACGTTTCTTAGATCAGAATTATAATACTTTCATAGAAAGATTATAATAGTACTTTACTGTCTCGCGATGAACAGGGTAAACGATATATTTTACAAGATTAGAGAAATATCACAAACACTACTCTGATGTCACTAAATCTAGTCTGAAATATAATTTTCATTTATATAATAATCTTTTTCCGTATTTATTTTTCATTACATATCCCATAGTTGTGCATGATATTTTAATACTGCTATTATTGGTTTAAAATGATATAAATAATGAAAATTTAGTTAATAGTTGCTACTTGTAAGAAAACAGGGACTAATACAGTCTTTGCGAGTAAAAAATGTCACGGCTGAAGACCCTCCCGTGTAATGGTTGAAGCGTTACATCTTAGAGTGATTGTATATGCGTTTTCGGAAGTAATATGTAAATGTTACTGGTATACGTTTCAAATACGATACTTTTCTTTAAAAACAGTGAATCCGAAAAGAACGTAAAATCGGAAAAATGTGAAGACTTTAACCCGTATGTGGCATAGTGTCCCGTTGCCCAATTGGACTGAAATTTGTTCACCAAGTATCAACGGTTTAAAGAGTGCAACAAAGAAAAAGTGAAAAGAAAAGATTGACTCCTATAACTAAGGACCACCTTAATCCGTGCTCCAAGATATTTCGTTTCCGTCTCGTCGAGAATCAAAGTAAAAGAACTTTTCTCTGACTTATCATCGTGGCGGTACGCTAGTCGGATAAAGTACAGCGGCATATATGGAAATTCGGATTACCGTTTTCGAGAGGATGTTCGTTAAACGAACGAAGAGTCAATTTCGGTTATGGTCGGGAGAATATATTAATCTGTAACGGAATTCATTCTGGTTACATACGTGTATCACGTATATTCGCAACAACTTTGGAAAGTAAAGATGGAATGTCGACAGCGTGCGCCGCTCGTTCGAAATATGAGAAACGTTCCGCCGTAAAAAGAAATAAATGTAGTGGCAGAGGTGTAATTGTCTACGTGCTGGACCGTATATTTCACCGAGAACGACGTAATTGAGGAACATTTGACAGAAGCTCAAACTCTTTTATACCATGCAGTGCGTAGGAGGATCGATATATTGCTAATTGATGACCGACAATTAACGGTGAATAACTATGCCGACGACTACCGTTTGTTTCCAACGAGACGAAACCGTTCGAGACCGAATAGCCGAGCCACGTTATATCTAGTTTATACGACGTACATTAGACCTGAATGGCATCTCCTCTGCCAACTTGAATGAGAGCAATTTAACTTCTTTAGGTTGCTTAATCGGTAGGAAGTCACATCAACTATACAGCTGTATAACCTGTACAAGACACCAATACGTGCATCGTTTGCTCCGTTGCACCGTCACTAAGGTATCATAGAAGAAAAATTACGAAGATAAACGAACGAATTAAAACAATGCAATGGATTGGACATTGTTCACCGTTGATGTATTCAAGCGACAAAATGATTCTCTTTAATAAGTCACACAGTGACGATTTTCCATAATTGTCAGGTGCGTATGCTGCGAACCTCCGAATTGGAAACAGGGTGCGACCGAGTATATTCAGTTTCGCTTGATCTGTCCGGTCATCGCTTTTCTTATGTCTTACTCTCGTTGTTCGTCTGACGATCAAATATTTGGCAAATACACCTTGGGATCTGCGGTCTATTTTGAATCGTGAGAACAGACAGACATAGGCACTAAAACATCATTTATTAACCAACCAAAATACCATGATGGAACAACAAATGTTCAGTGGTTGTTTGCTGTGAACAATTTCAAAACTACTTGCTCTTCTAGTTTTTTATTTATCTATTTGTCTATTCGCCTATTCGTCTCTTCGTCTATCCGTCTATTTGTCTATTCGTCTATTCGTCTATTCGTCTATTCGTCTGTTCGTCTGTTCGTCTGTTCGTCTATTCGTCTATTCGTCTATTCGTCTATTCATATATTCATATATTCATCTATTCATCTATTCATCTATTCATCTGTTTATATACATATTTACCGAGTGTCACCGGTTCCAAGTACAACCAAACAGTAACGATATCATACTTTGTACACGCATACAATATGCCATGTATTCTATAATACTTATGCTTAATGTATCGCAGATCAACGTATGCACATGTGTAGACCAACGTAGGTTTTTGCTATGAAATTCCTTCGGTCGGTCTTCGCTTCTCTTGTGATACATAGTTGCAATTAATCTACTTTGTGTAGATTAACATCTTGGCAGTGATCCATTAGAAACGTGGATAACTGTAAGTGTGTTCTTCTCAATATCTGTACAGTATTGTTGCTATTATTGTTTCTATTATTGGTAGAATCGTCGATCTCTTACAGAGATTATGTAAATTAACCGGCCGATTCCTGGCATGGCAAGTAATCGATTTAACCGTAGAGAGTCGATTTCGATAGAATTCAGTGAAAATCGTTCATCTTGGAGACAACAGTTTCAGCTTTTGCAGTGATAAAACTTGGCAGAGAAATAAAGACATTGGAAGAACAGCGAAGGTCGATGAACTGTTAATACACAGATGTACCGTGTTTGCGGTTACCGGCGTTACTCGAGCGAATACAATCAATTACCCTGAATTCGTAATCGCCGAGTAAAGTGTGAATCCCACGGTTGTGTTCAAGGTCGTGCAGACTTATATAATGGATTTGTCCGAAATTGAATAAAAGATAACAATGCGAGAAGGCACGACCGACCGATACACATCGAATCGCTGGCTGTCTAGCATTGTGGATCACAATTTTTTGCAAAGATCAATGATTTGAAAGCGGTAAAAGTACTGTACCAAAGAAAGCAGAAATTTTCGACGATCTTTCTCCGAATCCTTCTCTTTGTTCGGTCACGCTGCCGGAGGAGCCGTCAAGCAGCAGATACGCTCTCTTCGTTTGTGTTTGTTCGGACAGGAATTTTCTGAATTTTCTGAATTTGCTTATTTCGGTGTTTGGCCCAACGTTTCTCGAGGACAATGCTTCGAATCAGTGCTTTCGGCGTTTCGCATCGCGACGCAAACTTTGTTAAAATAATTTCACGTTTTAGGTATAAATTGTACACCTCCGGCGATAGAGGATTTCCCACACGACTTATTCGACGAGAAGCAAAGGCAAGGCGGAGCTGTCGTCGTGCATGTGATCGTTTCACTTTATCTATTTATCGCGTTAGCCGTAGTATGCGACAAATTCTTTGTGCCCGCTGTGGAAAAAATTTGTCACGGTAAGAAAAAGTATGGTTTACTCTTAAATCGTTGCAGTCTAATCGCGAGTCTAATGCTTCGAGTTTGTTTGGTGATCGGTCACACGGTCGTTCGAAATGCCTGAATGATCGATCGAAGATACAGTCTTGGATCGATTTTCGATCGAACGAACATTTCGTTTCGAACAAAAGAGAAAACGATCGTTTGCTTCGCCTCGATACGAAACTAAAGAGATGGAAGAAATATTTTTCATTTCAGCTCTCTCGATGTCCAAGGACGTGGCTGGTGCGACTTTTATGGCTGCAGCAACGTCGGCACCAGAATTGTTCGTAAACGCGATCGGCACGTTTATCACCGAAGGTGACATCGGAGTCGGAACAATAGTAGGCTCGGCTGTATTCAATATTCTTGCTGTACCAGCTTGTTGTGGTATAGGTGCCGGGATGGTAAGTTGAAATTCAGATTCGGTTCAGCCGAAAAGTTATTATACCTCGTTGCTTAAAGTTTCTCATTGGCATTGGATCGCATCCGAGTTACGAAATACAATTCGGTAGATTCGAATACATACTTGCCGGAATGCAATGCAACGTGATGCGATCAAAGGCAGTGTAACGCGCAACGTACTATTGCCTAATGTAATGGTATGGAACAGAAGCGCGTTGCACGCGCATAAAACGTTATTCCTGTAAAACTTGTGCAACCTCGATAACGCGTAGAGTCTAGTTTGCATTAGATATTGCACAGATTTGTTGAGGTTGACATGCTAAAGAAATGAACAGCACGCTATCAATCTCAAGCCATGTACATCTGTCTGTATCGGTGAACGCAGGTAGTCCCTTTGGATTGGTGGCCGGTTAGCAGAGACTGCCTTGCCTATGGCGTTACAGTTGCCATTCTAATATGTATTATACACGACGAAAGGGTAGAATGGTACGAGGCGTTAACTCTCGTACTACTGTACATCGTCTACATTGCCGTCATGTACTGGGACAAATCGTTTCAACGATGTACACGATTCCGCGCGAATGATGTTGATCAATCCTCATTGGATGACCATCGACTCGCGGCAGGTAAAACAACACGAGGTTTACTTATTTCGAATAAGGGTACGTTCACAGCGCGATGAGAACGAAGCGACGAAACAGACGTGCAGGCAGTTTGATTTGAAATGTGTATTCTTAGTTTTCTTGGGTTTCTTTGGTACCGCAAGTCCGCTCTAAACGTACCCTAAGACAAAGTTATTCGTATAATTCGTGAATGAAGATTGCCATGTCGATGCTTACTCGCGTATAATCGCTTACACCAAAGCGTCCTTAATCCTTGTTTCAGAAGGCAGCATTGAAATTCACCTAGCGAGATCGGATAAAGTGCAACCGACGAGTGATCAAGCTGAACGTACAGATGTACCTCTACAAAACGGAGGAACGAAAACTCAAGAAGAAAATTCGGAACCCAGTGAGTTGAGAAGCTTGCTAAGAAGTTTAGCGAAGTCGATAGAATTAGTAGTTTCGTTGTGTTAATCGCATCCCGTTAGGTTTCACAGGGAAACAGTGTAGCCGTTACTATTCATTTATAGGCACACTATTCGATCCCATTGCGTAGTCGGTGGTTAGTTTTCTTATTGAAACATTACATCGTAGGATATCAGTTTCATGAAATACAGAATCACGCGAAAGACAGCGATTGGCATCGTTAGAGGAAACGTTATGCGGTTTCACACTGTGCAGGTTACGAGTACGAGTTACTGGTCTGGCCGGCACGAGCGGGATGGATAAGGAAAACGGCTTGGATCATGACATGGCCGATACATCTGATATTCATGTGTACGATACCAGATTGCGAAAAGCAACGATTCAAAAATTGGTTTCCGGTTACGTTTCTCATGTGTATCATTTGGATTGGATCTTTAAGTTACGTTGTCGCCTGGATGATTACGATAATCGGTAAGTGAAATTTCTGTTACGAACAAATCGAATGTGCGTATAGAAGATTGTCGTACACGAGCAACCAGATTGAGCGACGAATAACGGAGAAGAAACGCAAGGTAAGCAATAACCAAGTTTCATTCGGTTTTCAGGCGACACCCTAAAGATACCGGACTCTGTGATGGGCATCACTTTTCTGGCAGCTGGTACTAGCGTTCCGGAAGCAGTGTCGAGCGTAATAGTAGCGAAACAAGGTAAAATCAAAGAAACGTATCGAAAAGAAGAAAAAAGAATAAACGAATCGGCTGTAAGGATACGGATCGCTCCTGACATACGGAAAAGTTTCAATTGCTTTTTTTCGATTTAGGGCATGGGTCGATGGGCATTAGCAACTCTATAGGCTCAAACACGTTCGACATATTGTTATGTCTGGGACTGCCGTGGCTAATCAAATCTTCATTCTCACCGACGCAGCCTGGAAAACATTATATCAGTATAAACTCCGGTGGACTGGAGTACAGCGCCATATCGTTGCTGTCGACGCTGATGTTACTCTATATTGCTTTTGCCTCGAATAAGTTTCAGCTCGATAGAAAAGTAGGCCGTGCCTGTTTGTGTATGTATGCCGTGTTCCTCATATTAGCTTCGTTGATAGAGCTCAATGTATTCTTCAGGGTAAATTTGCCCACCTGTCAAAGGACGGTTAAGTGATACGGAGTCAAGAGTAGAAACTTTTAACGATATTCGATACGGTTTTAGTTGATTATCGTATGTTCTCTAAGAACTG